TCGCTCGGCCGCGAAATAAAATTTGCATTGTACGGTTCCCGATCTCTCGATGCCCGTGACGGCGATCGTCGCACGCGGATAGCCTTTGAAATTTAACGGGCATTTTCACGCGGGACCCGTGTCCCACCGACGACGAATCGACCGAGTAATAAGCATCGTTATAAACATGTGTACGAGATGTTGGTGAAAAAGGTACGGCGAGGTCGTAAATCAGGACGTTAAAGTGAAAAAACACCGATTGATCTAGCCTCACGCTGGGCCTGCAAGAAACTCCGTTCTGGAAGCTGCGGGGCAAGCCACCCCTAAGGTGGTACATCATCCTGAGACTTCTAGAAATAGGGTAAAAAGGTTTAGGAATTTTTTCTTGGAGGTAACTATTATAGTACACGAGAAGTTTCAATGTTTTTGGGGGAGGGTGCAAGTGGAAGTTTCAGGATTTTTCTGCAATTTTTTCTGAAACCAATTAGTGAAATATAAAATTCTTGAGCTATATGTGAAAGCTCTAGCAAAATAGATTCATAGTAATCTAGGAAACTGACATACTAAGTATTGTATCGGACTAAAGTCAAAGCACAACATCCCAAGACTCCCAAAATCCGTTCTAAATTCTAATAAGATATCGTGCTAAGAAGTTTTCCAAAGTTCTATCCTACATGACACAAGTAAGCAATAAACTGTATACCGAGCACAACTAACGCTAAGTTTTCAAGTATCAAGCGGGTAATAAGGCAGCTAAACTGCTCTGAGCACTCTGTAACCTACTCGTAAGTGAAAATCTACGAAAAAAGAAAAGGAACAGTTGCTATCCTACGTTCAGTAAGAGATATTGTAACCACGCTCAACGAAACTGTAATCTAGAGTGAGAAAACTAAGCTTTATTCTGAAAAATACACTGTCTAAGGTGGGCATGTCCAACTCGTGGCTCACGGGCTTCATGCCATCCCGCGGGGCTCGTTTCGCCCCGAAGGGCTAGTAACGCGGTCCCACAAGATCGTAAACGTTCAACGTTATTATGCGATTTTTAGCAATATTTCTCACGATTCGATAACACGAAAGAATAAAGGAAGTTTTGTTACTTGTGGACATTAACGTCGATTCCTCTTCGCTCAAAGCATCCCAGGCAAGCCAAAATGTTGGACACCCATGATCTAACTGATTCGACGATAACACGACCCTAAACGAGGCTCGTTATCTCACCTAACTGACCTCTCGGCCATCGAATTTCATACTCTTTCACACCAATCTGATTCTACGACCTCACTATACCTCATTCACCAAGTACACGCGACAAATATGCTCCGGGAATAGACAATCGATTGCTATTATTAGACATGCAATTATACCTTGTATTGTGCAAAGTCGATACTATGGCTGAAAGGGATGTCGCTGGTCGATTCGTGACCATAGTCATCAGCCAATTTACTAATTAGCCGGTCCTCTAATCCGGAAAGTATTCGAAATGTCATTAATCCACCTACAGCTGCGGTGATTAGCTCCGTGACGATCAGTGCGACAAGCATGCTCATATACTGAACAGATGAGAATGCATGGTAAATTTTTTCACTGTCTACTTGTAAGCAGTTGTGCGAAGAACAGTATGGTTAACTTACAGTGGCTAGAATGCATTGGTTTCCGTGAAGAGCGGCCCGACACCCGACGAAACCGACCGTGAGCACCGTGAAACCAAGACCGAGTAAACTGTAAGCTAGCAGGTTAATAGTCTCGTGTGGCGTAGCGTCAGATACGAAAAGATTTAACAGGTGTCCTTTGCTTGGTTCCAGCAACAACCATGCTCCTATCACAAGTACCGTACACCCGGCCAACTGTCGAGTCAGTGGTTTTATGTCACTTTTTCTTATCAATATTTTCGAGGGGATTCTGCGCAACTGGACTATCAAATGAAATTGAATCGTTTCTCTGTTTTGACGTTACTTTACTTTACAATTAGGTGAATTTATGCGTCTTTATTGACAACTGTCCACGAAAGAACGAAGGAAATGCAGTTATAAAAAATATAGAGGATACGAAACAATTCAATTTCATTTCGATTCCTTTTTTAGCTCTTTAGAGCTGTATTTGAATTCAGGCACTATGCGTGGCGCATTGTGCATGTTTGGTGATAGCATGGTAACGTGCAATGCTCGAACATGTCCCTATTTCCTTCTTTTATGGATTTGCCGTTTCAAGTTTGAACTTCAAATGATTCGTTTTGCCTGATTTTGAATACTCGCTGCGGAAAGTATCTACTGAAATTCTCGTTTTAAATTTGGAAAAATATCGACACACTTCGTATACAAATCTCGGATTAACCTATAAATTAAATATGATATCTTTCTTGTTGCAGTGTAATTTTTTGTAATCTAAAATTTATTCAACGTTATTCATATTTTTTTTTCATTACGCCAGAATAATTGCAATTTGCTTTGCATCGTGTTTTATGAGAAAGTATCGTAGCAGCTGTACTGAATTTACTTTTTTCCAAGTCGTTCAACTTTTCATCGTAATGCACATAATACCGTCGTATTTTGGTTTATTGAACTTGTTCGATGATCGACTTTGTCATTATGTACAGTTAATCTATTATTAGAACGTGCGTTTATTCTTTGTTTACGCTTTACCATAGATCACTAAAGCTCCTCGTGAATTAATCACGCTATCCTATTTCTTACATGGGAAATTATTTTAGAATTTTTATTTTCATTTTAGGATAACATAAAAAATATAGAAAAAGAAAAAAAGAATCCATCGAGCTTCTTCTGTGCGAAGGTTGACTGTAGATGGACGATACGGGTTTTAAATGAAATGTTTCATACTTTACCCATATTAATAAGTTGAACGTGAATAGAACAACTTTCAAGTATTTCATGCTGATCGTTTTCAAGGCATCAAATAATCATGAATCTGCAAACACACAACGTCACTATGTTAGTACAAGCTACATTAAAATGGAGATTTCAATTAGGAAAATATGCAAATTTCAACGGACACACAATGCCACAATTACGGAATAATAATTCGTATTAAAATGTTCCAATTATGCATCACGGTAATTTGCTAATTTTCTAGTAACACGTAAAGCATAGTTAATGCACAAATAAAGTGCTTTTTTTTCATCCATATCTATATATATACAGAGTACGAGATGTTTCTTATCATTTTAATTTGCGATATTTAATACTCTGTGAATTTTCCATATTCCATGGAATATTTCAATTAACCCGATTTTCCTTCCCTCCGACGTATGCTGATCGGAACACACGCTTTCCTGTGAGAAAAGCTCGCGATAACGCGAACGTGTAACAGCGTGAATATTAAAACTGTCCGCGATTTCCACCCCCGTAAGACAAAGAACGCACACGCGAATAATAACGCAGGCATACTTGTTCCTCCCGATCTCTTAGGGTGGTGAATTGAGATCTGCGACGATGTTCAAGTTGAAGCAACGAGGAAAATAGAAGTTAGTTGGAACGATCGATGAATTTTCGTTACGATAGAACGCACCAATGTAGCACGATGATTAAATGAAAAAATACTACTGAAAAGAGTTAACGGGAGCTTATAATTTCACAGGAACAAAGAACAGATTAACTCATTTAGGTCGTGCCGTAGCTAAAAATAAGCCGGATAAAGAAGAAGCTTTTAGAATTGCATATTTCACTCTTGGGATGCAATTACAACTCCATAGGTGGGCAATGCACGTTTTCGAACGTGCAAATGACTGGCAATTACTGAAATTAAAAGAAGCCACTCGAGCGACATATACGTGTATATTAACATTTGCGCGAGCCACAGTAGCCCGTACTATACAGCATCGATTAATACATTAACAATGTTGAAGCATCACTGGATCTAGTCAAGATCAAAGGTCACAGTGGAATTCTGAGAGTAACGCGTGTGTACACACGGTTGATGTATGCCTATATTAATATAGCGCGACAATGGGAAGTCCACGGTTAAATGATCACAGAGGCAGAACTTACTAATTAAATCTAACAACTACGTGCGTGAAAATTAATTAAAATCACTTCTGCCCATGGTACATTAATTACAACAAGCATAACGAGCGTATTCCTGCCGTCGCGTCGCCTGATTTTACGTGCAATTTACCCCAGTGGTTTAACGACGAATCAAATTTTCCGCGAAAAATTCCGAATTGCACGTTAATTCCGTCTAATCAGACTGCGGCAGAGAAGAAAGTCAGCGAAATTTTCGATTATATTTCATCGAAGGTTGTGCGGTAATCGTAAATACTACTTTTCCTCGACAGTGGCGTGCATGAAAATTTGAACGTTTTAATCTACATACCACGGAGTGCATGTTTCGAGCAGTCCAAGTATCACTTCCTCAAACATTCATCACGTCTACGTGTTTCAACACACACACACACACACACACATATATCATTTACCGTATTACCGTTAATAATAGCGCACATAGATTTCGGTAGACCGATAAGTACTAGCCGTTGGCCCCTGTTGATTGCACTCTCACTCGACGGGGAACAAGAGCGGGAAACGGAAGGTAGAACCTCGGTAACGTTGTTTAAAATAATGAAAACAGCAGAGAAGTAACTTCATTCAATCGTATATCCTCGTATGAAAGAAACTTATTCTTCTCTGTAAAATGTATCCACATGGGGTTCACGGTTCTTTGCACTTGGGTCGTTCAATCTCCTTTTCCTGTTTTCCCTAGAGAAGTTCTAGCTAGGATTAAATTCTCCAGCACGTTCGGATCGTTGGCGGTGTGTCGAGACTACTGTAATCGAGACGCGAACCACACTGTGAAATCGAGTCTTTCTTTTTTCTCTCCTCCTCCTCCTTCTCCTCCTCCTTTTTTTTTCTTTTCTCTCTCGTTTTTTTTTTTTTTTTTACGTAAAAGACTCGTTTACTCGAACCGCGAGATCGATGACGCGTTGTAACCAGTAATCACGTGCCGGACTAACGGGGAGTAAATGTTTCCGCGACTCTACGTACGAATGGATCTCACATCTGACACCAAGAGTAGACGATCCTGGCGTGTACAATCGCGACGATACTGCCGAGGGTAAATGCTGCCAGCTCCGGCGTCATCTGTTTCGGGAGCGGCACACTCTCACCGTCTCTCTTTCTACACATCCTCTGCCCTTACATCGGCCGGAGCTGGTCCAGATGCGGCTGCGTCGCAGCGAAATGGCGCCGACGCTCTCTCGTCCTAGTCGATCCTCCTCCTGCTCCCGTTTAGTCCGAACGTTTCTCCACTTCCACTAGAACACCTTTCTTCGTTCCGTCGGTGACGAATGTCTACGGACAAACCGGTGGCCAATTCAACCGGACTTTGCATCGGTTGACAAGTTCGAGTGCCAATAACGATGTGGTTTTACCGGACTGACCAATCTCGCCGGAACTCTATTCGTGAGTTGCAATCACCATGCTTGCACCGGTTTCTCGTATTAACCTTGTTTCGTCTGCGCGGTTTTTCTTTTTTTTTTCTTTTTTTTTTTTTTGGCGGAGATGTTGATCGTTTGTTGGTTGAAAGTATGAGAAAGTTGGATTTTGGAAATTTGGGTGGAATCGAGGCTGTAGTGGTTGAGAGGTGATTATGTGTATCAAGATAAAGTGGGCTTGGAGCATTTATGACGTTTGTAATGATAAAAGGCTGGTGTTTTTTTTCTTTTTTTTTTTTTTGGGGATAAATTAATGTGCGATTTTGAAACGTTTGTTTTGACGTTTTATTGGTTGTTTTTTAATGGGTTGTTGTTGTTCTATTCTGTGTTTAAATTGAGGTGGTTTATTGAGGAGATCGGAGGTTGATTTTGTCGTATGGTTGGCTGCTCCATCATCTTATCCTTTGGCTTTTAATTTTGTGTGCTTTTAAAAGAGAAAATGGTAATTTATTTTTAGAATCATTTTATTAGTGAAATTTGAAAAGAGAAGATTGTAATTATGTAAATATAATAGATTTATTAGGTATTAACAATTTTTACAACATTCGTGTTTTATTCGTTTTAAACAACACATAAGTATACGTAAAAGATGTTAACGCTCTAGTCAACGAATTGGCGATGCAAATAAGTTTTCGAATATAATTTCCTAAAAAAAAAAAAACAGAAAATAGAAGTACACACAATCAAAAGAGATTTTATCGTAATACATTCAGTGTGCTCGCCATACGACTAGAGATTTAATCGATTAAGTCTCGCAATTTTCTCATATAAATTCCGTCATGTGATATTGTTCTCCATATAACGTACCATATGCGAGTATACAATTTAACAAGGTTTCTTACAGACAGAAAACGTAAGTGTACATTCGATTGTCGCATTAAGTACAATATCTTTTCCGACATATTATTGCCATTATGTCCATACTTTAAATGCACTTCGTATATTTTACATTTAGTAATGCGATTACATTCTTATCGACTAAGCAGTTACGAGTAATTTGAGATTTGAAAAAAAAAAAGAAAAGAAGAACGTATGTCTTTTTCATTGAATTCCATTTTACGAAATGAATTCACAGTACAATATATGAATTCGATTTCTTTTTAATAACGGTGGCCTGCCGATGGCTGCAATCGATTTTGTAGATACACAGGAAAGTAGTTAAAAAAAAAAAACAGAAAAACATTGTGTACAAAAAAAAAAAAAAACGTTGAAGAACAATTTCATATCGACAATCGTACTTTCGTGCAAGTACGTAACAACGATGCCTACCATTGTTTGAATATCGTTAAAAATAATAAAATAGTATGAGCAAACACGCAATTATAAATAAAAAGATCTTATTATACAACAGTTTTACGTGGGTTTCTCGTACATTATAAGTTTACGGGCCGATCACGTTTAGCACAGCACACACACACACACACACTCGTTCATTCACACAGTCATACCTATTTTAAATCAATTACTTCGTTAAATCTTACTTTCACGATGGACGGTACGCAGACTCAAGTTCCATTCGCCTTTTCGTAGATTCTCCGGATCGGAGACGCGTATTACGGTTTCTACAAACACACGAGGATTCCGTATTAAACGTACTACGCGGCAACATTGTCATTAAAGGGACAACAAAGTATTGCACAACAGAGATTCGATATAAAAGGATCGCTTGAGCGGCGCCTGAATCTTTCGACGTCACTTTTCAACCCTTTCGCTGATTTTAGTTCAATCGCGACCGCAAAATCTTTCGTTTCGCAGTTTCAAAATTAAGAGAAAATTTTTAAATTAAGGTGGAAGTAGGTGAAGAATAAGAATAGAGAGTAAAATTGCGGTGAAAGTGTGCCAAAAAGCGTCGAAAGTACGGTGCGAGAAATATATTCGAAACGCCTATAGGCGCCAAGGACACAGCGCGAGAAAATTATTCGAAACGCCTACAGGCACCAAGGACACGTGCAAAAAAATATTTGAAACGCCTATAGGCACCAAGGACACGTGCAAGAAAATATTTGAAACGCCTATAGGCACCAAGGACACGTGCAAGAAAATATTCGAAACGCCTATAGGCGGTAAGAGCAGCGAAAGGGTTAATTATTACACGTTGCATTCGATAATGCGATGAATAATGTAGCATTGTCAGGCACTTGCGTCGGGATAAAATGTATAAATCACATTGAAAGTCGTTGTGTCGCGAAATCGATGGCAATTTCGTTGTACAGTCGTGGTAACGGTGTGCGCGCGCGCGCGCTCGCTCGCATTTAAAACGAAACAATGAAGATAATGTGTGGTTTTCGACACGCGCCTTCTCGACTTAAACTTAATAAAATTATACCTGCGGCGGTTGACACGCATCGATAAAACGTTCTCCACGCGCGCGTTCGCAGAAAAAGAAGAAGCTCGTCCGTTTTTATTCGTCGCTCGCGCAAAAAATATTGGCGACCTCGTTTTCAACGCGACGGCATACATATGCCGCTCTCAATGCTCGCGGGCGACAATTCAATTGAAAGTCCGCCTCCCGGAACGAATCTTGTACTTGTTTAGAAATGCATTGGCATATCCGCTTTTTATTTAGTTCAGTCGCCGTTAATCCATTAGATTGGAATCGCATGAATCGCGTTGCAATTTATACCCACAGTACGAAAATTTCACTTGGAGAAAAATGTACTGTCACATTTAGACCAAAAGGAAGAAAATAATTGAAAACGAGCAACGAGTGGTTAATCGTTTGATTAACAATCAAATACTTGTCTAATCTCGTGACGCGATACAGTGTCTCTCTCTCTCTCTCTTTGAATTGGAAAATATAACACCGTGTTAAGAATTATGTCACCGAACACACAAAAGGCTCGTCATTATCGCGCGGGCATATATAACAAGGCGCTAGACATCCGTGAAAAGTTTCGAGTTGAGCATATTCGAACAGCAACTCCAATTTCACCGCTTACAATTCCGTGGTCGTTTCCACCGGGCTTTGTTCACCCAAATACGTAAATCCGAGATGAGAATAATCCTTCCTCTCCCTGAACGTCACATTATCGTTTGACGGACTAGGACTGAGCAGATCGTTACCGTGGTTGTAGAGTGGATTCAGGACAGGCGTCGTGTCGTGATTGTTCAACGTGTTCACATTGCTGTTGTTGTGATTCTTCCTGCCGAGGGTGGATCGCCGTAACGAATGAATGTTCACGTCTCCGTGGGTTCCGACTATGCTAGAAGCGCGTGCTGTGGTCGCCGCTTCAGAACTCACGGGACTTTGCTGACCTGAACAGATTATGAGAGATTCTCCTTCTAAATGCTCCTTCTCCTTGATTCATCTTACGTACACTCTGGTTCATAAGTATCGGAATCGGGGCTCTTACTGTCTTAATCTTGAGTCATAATCCTGTCTTAGATATATAGCTACTTAATTTTCGACCCGAGTATCACGGTGCTCGTGTGATTTGGATTCGGACGACGAATGCTTTTAGATGTCTCTTTAGATCTCCTTTGCGTTTATACCGTCAATATTTTTCTTACTTTAGTGGTAATTTATTTGTGTGATTTTAAACAGTATAACGCCTAGTAAAACGAGAAATGTGTAAAAAATTAACGTTACGAGTTCGGTTGTTGTCACTAACGAGCTGAAGACGTCTAGTTGCAGCGATACGAACTTTGGCGAAGAAATGTAATTTAATTCGTATAACACTTTCTGTAGGAACGTAATGAGTGTTCCAATACTTATGAACGGCAGTGTACATAAGCCAGAGAGGGAAGAGGAGGGGTGTGCTTTTTGAACGACGAGCGAGATGAAATTTCAAGAGTTTCGAAACTTCGTGATCATAAATTGCTGTAATTAATATTAGTTCGGGAATATTGTAACGAAGTTAAGAAGCAAGTTCTGGGTGAAAGCCATTAATGCATTTCTCCGAATTATTTTAATCGTGGGCAATTTATAAAAATAAAAGAGATGTTACAAGTGGAGAATAGTGAGTTCAAGTAGCATTTTATCTTTAACTGATTTTTTTTTTTTTTCTATATTTCTTATCTTACAATTGTGAAGAATATTTTTAGCGCAAGTGACAAACTTTATGGTAAAGCAATTTAAAGCTCGTTTAAACATTTACAAAAATTCCGTTTTTTTGCAATCTTCTTTCTTTCACATTTCATCTCTTTTTTTAAGCAATTTAACGGCGATTGCGTTCTAAGTTTGACGAACGAAAGAAATTTTTCAAAAATTCTTTGATTAAATTTCACGTTCATCTGTGAATCTCCATAATTTCTCGAATTGCACAATTCAAACATTTCACGATCAAAATGATCGTGAAAGATATTTTGCAAATGGGATAAAACGTTTCAATCAAGCGTACCTGTACTCTCTCCGTGATCTTTGGTAATGTAGCTGACGTTGTCCAAGCTGAACGCGTGATTTTTATTGCTAAAATCAAGCTGGAGATCGTTGTAGCTGTCGTTATCGTCCACCGGAACGCTCATTTGAAGCACCTGCGTCTCGTATTCTTTCAAATTCGGCTCGACGTAGACGGGATCGTAACGTGGCACAACGTACATCCTTTGCATTCGTTCCTTGTACGCCTTGTATCTATGTAAACGGGTGTAATGAGAAATTCACACGTGACAAACGGCGACGTGGTCGATATCCGAGTTGGACAGCGGTGTAAAAACCGAAGCAAGTTGTGTTTCCGTGTGCTTGTCGTATATATCGCGAGGCTGCTAAATGTTTTAAGGGACAGCCACGCCGGAAAGCTTTAATTAATTCTAATGGAAGTAATGAAGGGAACGACGAATTTGCATGACAGGCGGACTCGTCGCGCCAATGAATATTCATGACGACACTCGAAAGTGCTTCTTTCACATGATATTAACCATAACAACGTTGTTGACGCAACAATTGTCACAGGGAGAATTGAGCGTGGTGCCCGAAAAATGGTAGAAATTGGTCGAATTTTTCTTTTTCCCTTTTTTTTTTTTTAGCAAGTAAGCACCGAGCACACGTGACTAATGGAGTTACGCAATGCTATTAAAACGACAACGAGGCAATTTACCTAGACCAGGAGACGCAGATGTAGATGATGCCTGCTATGCCCAGAATCAGTATGACGCAGGCGATAATTATCAAAGCGTACGGAAATACTTCGCCGCTGAAGGCAATAGCAGTTTGTGTTCGAACTGGCTCGGGTGGCATCACCGGCGCGTGAATGTCTATCGCGTTTGCTCGGACCAACGTGGACACGTCGAAAGTGATATTCGACATTGCTGGCTTCTCGATGATCGATCTGTAAGAGAACCGAACGTACTTCGTGCATTTCTGGGTGTAAGAACACTGTGAAGTAAGAGATTGTTAATGCAGAAACGGAAATTGTTAATTCAGGATTACGTGGCGACGTAGAGTTGTTATGTCATGCTACAACGACATTCAACGTTTTCATGTCTCTTTACGTAGGCTGAGAACGCGAATTTATAGACTATCTAAAACGCTGAAGGAAATTATATTCTGTAAGCGTTGAATTAATATTTTACGAATTACAGGTAAAATCTGCTCCAGTGTGGTCTAATATTCCAAAAAGTTCTTTAAATAAAATTCTGCATAGATCGAATATTTTTTTTATTCCTTTGTTTATAATATTAAAAGAAAGATACTACACAACTGTAATTTTATAATACTCGGAAATAAATTTCTTACCTTTGTATTCGCGTGCTGTTTCGGTCTAAAATGGCTTCCGTGTCGGGATCGATCGCGTAAAACCACACGTCGGAATCTTGAGGATACATCTCGATGGTTCCATTTTTGGTCAAATTTTTCCTCACAGCGACTCTGTCGATGCCGATTAAAAGTCCGCTCTTCTCCTCGATGATGTCAGCGATCTTGGAAGCTTCTTTTTGCAACACGTCAGGCGCTGCATCCTGAACTACCAGGATCATTACATTCTCCTCCCCGATTAGATTCACTATAACTGGAGCGACGATCGAGTTAAAGTTGTCAGTTGAATTAGGATTGTCCCGAACTCGAACGTCGAACTTGAATGGAAGCTCCGTTGGATCCACGTTGTCGAACGTCGCAGTCGTTCTAATGATACCGGAGGAGCTGTCCATGGCAAAGTAGTCCGACCCTCGTCCTCCCAGTATCTTGTACTCGAGCTTCCCGTACTTTCCGTTGTCTTTATCGTGAGCCTTCACTTGTATCACCGTTGACGCAAATTGCGCGGATCGCGGAATTGCCGCGAAGTAACGCCCTCTTGACAATTTTTTATTGCTCTCCAAGAAAATGAATTCTGGCTTGTTGTCGTTCACGTCGAGCACTTGAATCTTGACCTATAATTCGAGTGGGAAATTTGAACGTTCGTCGAGGGAGAACAAAAAGAGACATTTTTCGATCTGGTTTTATTACTCGGTGTGATATAGATCTTTTGCAAATGACAGATTATTTCGTGTTTCTTTTTTAATTTTTTATCGAAAGTATTCGTATCACAGATTATCTCCCTTTGAATAAATCTGTTGTGTGCGAAAGTAGGATAGGTTTTTATTATAAAAAAAATTGTACACGAGGTTTGGATAAAAAATACCAGGACTATGCTTGTAAATGGATATCTCCCAAGTGAAGAGGGAAAATTGATAAAATAATACCAGTGGCGATTTAATTGGCGTTAAATTTACACGTGATTTTTCTAATTCGATTTTCAAAACGGAATTCGTTGAAGTGAAGTTTGAATTTTTAACGAAAAACAGTCCCCTTTATTTCCACCGTACTCACTTGGCTTTGTGCGACATATTTTCTGCTTCTGAAACTGAAGCGTTCATTGAAAAGTCGCACTTTTCAAACGATTTTACAGACAAAAGGAAAATTCGGAGGCTGATCTGAAAGCAATTTTTGAAAGTGCCTACACAAAGTGTTGTCAGAAGTGAAACAGGCGTTGACAACGATACGTAGCTCCTACATGGGGCTATTTTAAAGGGGACCACTTTAATTTAGAATAATGTTTTATTAACAAACTTTCGTGACGCCAATCGGGGTATTTTTAAAAATATATGAAATGTGTACCTATAATAAATAATGACAAAAACAGTAGCTAAAATTGTAATAACATAAAATTTTGCAAAGTGTATGTTTTGAAATAGAAACAGATTCTGTTTTGCTGGTATAATACTGCAATAAATCATAGCACCCATAATAATGTTCATAAATCAAATAATAATTAATAACAATTTGTTATTTTCTTGTAATGATATTAATCGAACGATAATTATTCGTACGTACCATCGTTATGTTCCTTCCGGCATTCAAAAGACCAGACAAAGACTCCAGCTTGATCTTCACCTGATAGGATTCCGTCGTTTCGTAATCCAAACCTCCCTTTTTTAACTTGAGCGCGCAATTTCGTTCTTCCGTGACGTTTGCTTCGAACAAACCGGCCTCGTTGCCGCTGTAGATCTCGCATTTTAACGGTGTAGTGTCGTGTGCGTGACTGTTAATGACCGTGATTATCTTGATCAGTGTATTATCACCCGCATCTTCAGGCACTTCGACGTTGTACGAATTTTCAGCGAAGCCTAAACCGATTTCTGGCGGTACCGTGGCCACGTGACGAACGTAAATCGGCACCGTCGTTACGGATGACAATTGTGGCTCTCCCATGTCGTAAGCGCGCACGTCCACCTGAAACGTTAGTGCAGGTCTAGATTTGTATTATTTCGATGAGTTGTGCATGTGGAGGAAAAAAACATTATGAGCCACGCTTAAAATTTCATCGTTATAAAGGAATTAAGTTTCCTACCATAAACGTTCATGCATTCACGTGGTTCATCTCCACCAACATTCTCATTTTTTCTGGTTTTCCCAACATCCCTCCGGTTTACAAACATTTCCAACATTCACTTTTTACTTTCGTTCATTCCTAATGTTTCACGCATTTTCTCAGTCACAATACAGCGAAGAAAGAGCAGAATTAGTGTGTCATTCTCAACTCACACGTATCAGTTTCACAGAAAACATTCAGAACGTGTAAGAACACCAGTTGTACATAGTAATAGGGTTCAGTGTTGAGTGAACAGTCTCAATTTTCCACACCATCGTCCCAACATATATCGCCCTCGCGCCATTAGGTTACCGCGGGAGCATTGGACGTTCAGGGTCACATTTTAACCATTTCGCTGCGACAGGCTTTTCGTTTTGGCGTTTTAAAATTTTTTTTAAATTAAAAAATTTGTCATTTTATTAAATTAAAGTGGAAATGCGCCAAGTGTAAAAATTAAGGATTAAATTAAGGTGAAAGTGTGCTGAAAGTACAGTATGAGAAGATTTCACAACGCCTATAGACACCAAGGTCACGTGCAGGAAAATATTCAAAACGCCTATAGACACCAAGGACACATGCAAGAAAATTTTTACAGCGCCTATAGACGCCAAAGACACGTACAAAGAAATATCCAAAGCGCCTATAGACACCAAGGACGCGTGCAAGAAAATATTCAAAACGCCTATAGACACCAAGGACGCGTGCAAGAAAATATTCAAAACGCCTATAGACACCAAGGACACATGCAAGAAAATTTTTACAGCGTCTATAGACGCCAAAGACACGTACAAAGAAATATCCAAAGCGCCTATAGACACCAAGGACACATGCAAGAAAATATTCAAAACGCCTATAGACACCAAGGACGCGTGCAAGAAAATATTCAAAACGCCTATAGACACCAAGGACACATGCAAGAAAATATTCAAAACGCCTATAGACACCAAGGACGTGTGCAAGAAAATATTCAAAACGCCTATAGACACCAAGGACGTGTGCAAGAAAATATTCAAAGCGCCTATAGACACCAAGGACGCGTGCAAGAAAATATTCAAAACGCCTATAGACACCAAAGACACGTACGAAAAAATATTGAAAGCGCCTATAGGCGCCAGAAGCAGTGAAAGGGTTAAATGGAAGAAGTGTCGCCAGTCATAGTGGCGAACATTAACATAAAAGAGAATGTAAATTGTCTATTGAAATTTACCTGGTATTCAGTGTCTGTTTCTTTACGCAAATCATCTCGTATTCGAAGCACACCGGTGTCTGGATCGATGACAAAGTATTTGTTCGATATTCCACGGCCAATAATTTCATACCTCACCTACGAACACATGGACAATAGGAATCGCTGTTTGAGTTTCGTGATTCTTGTTGACGGATCCTGAGTACGTACTTGATTTCCAGGAGCGGTGCCATCGGAATCTGTTGCTATAAGATTAATAACCGTTGTGCCGATGGGAACGTCGTCGTCTAGTGTAATCGGACGAGGAACTGACGTGAACACCGGTGGAATGTCGTTAACGTCCTGGTGGACAGCCAATAATAAGGAATTTTAAGTACTATTGTCCCTGATCTAACCAAGGGTTATTATTCATAGTCAAATTTACGAACTTGGTCAATTCATTATCATAGTGCTTTCGGTAGTAGTTTATCAGTAACTACAACTATAAAAATACCGATAGAATTTTATCTTATAGGATGCGCTGGGAAAATTCTGTCGAACGTTAGTAGTGCACAAGTGTTTCATCTAAACAACTCTTATTTATACATAGCGAAACCCAATTTTTTATCATCTTAATTTTCATATAAAATACAATAAAATTATAATAAATATTTGTGTATGCGATAATTTTGAAACTACAATTTGACATGTAACGAGGTGAAAATTTCTTGTTTAAAAAAGAAACTGAAGTGAAATCTGTTTT